GAAATGACGAGGTCACTGTTGATGAGCTAAAACGGTAAGGATTTTCATCTTTTCTTTTTAAATGCATACTTCAATTTATGGGCATAATGGCAAGATTGATGTGAAGGTTGTTGGTAATAGAAAGCTGGGTTGCCAGTTTGTGGTCTATTTTGCATTGTGCTTACTGTATGGGCTTACTATTTTCCAAGCGGCATTTACATTGCTTGATTGAGTGATTGTATATTCAGTGATCAATGAAACTGGCACTGGGAAGCCTTTGATCGACACGCACGCGCGTGTGTAATAGGTGTGTACTGGGTATTTGATTGGAAAAGGAAATTGGAAATTTCGTTCTTACATTCGGATTCATGATTTTTAATCGTGCATGTGAATATGATTGAGACACTACCATTATTACTATGATCTTGCTGAATAGAGGATGTGAGCATTATGTTTACTTGTTAGTGTTAAGAAACTACTGACCGAGTGGCCACTAGATCAAGCAAGCTTTGCCATACTGTGACCTTAAATATTGCTAATTTCAAAGAATCTTAAAATACATATTACAACTAATGGTCATCCACTTGTCAAGAAATAATTTGTATAATTGTTTTTGACTGACACTCTCTGCATTTGGTTAAATGCTTTCAACATTTGTAACATGCCATGAAGTCTTAATTGTCGGTCAACTTTACCATGAAAAAGTATTTGCCTTTTTTAATTTTATTTTTCCTTTTCAATTTCAAAGTGTAGATGAATTGCAAATTATTGATGATCCATGATAGTTAATTACCATTGTTTCTTGTAGGAAAAACCCAAGGGGTATACTAATTTCACCTGGACCTGGTAAGATGTTTGCACTATTTGTTTTTTCGCCTTTGATGATTTTGTATCTATATAGATTGAATTTCATTATTTTTTTTGTTCCTATGTTCAGGTACACCTCAAGATTCTGGAATATCCCTACAGATAGTTCAGGAACTTGGACCTACTGTTCCACTATTTGGTGTGTGCATGGGGTTGCAATGCATTGGGGAAGCTTTTGGAGGTAATGCTTTATCTATGAAGGATACTAAGTTTTTTCTTACATTGAGGCAGATCAAATGTAATATCTGCCTAAGCTTCTACTAGTTTATAACATGTATGCTGCAGCAATACGTGGGATAAAAACTTGGGAAATAAGATAAATCTTATACAAAATTGGACCGTTATACTTCATGTAGTCATACTTGAAATCAGTTCATCAGTCTTATGGATCTCATTTGTACTGTCTAATGACCATCAAATTTGTTTAGGCTCTACAGTTAACAGAAGTTTGCTAGTATGTTGATACTTATGAAAATGGTAGGACGAATTGGATCTTTTTTCTTGTGATTTTGTATAGTGTACTTGGTGGCTTTGTTCGTCCACTCCACTTCAAATAGATTTACTTTTTGAGCCAAACATCTTCTTGTGGGCATTTCAAACATGTTTGAGAACGCAAAGGTCATTAAAACGTTTGTGGATGAGCTTCGGCGTACATGGAAGGATGAAAAAAAGACGTGTAATCCTTTGGACATATAATTAGTTAATTCTGCCTATTATAGAAAAAATTTACTATTGCATTAATCTGTGGTTTGATTGATGTAGGATTGAATGTAGGTGATCATGATGGTATCAAAATGATTGGCACAGAAGTTAATCATGGTTTGCAGAAGAATAAGTTTACTAGTTAGATGGGATATGAAATGATACAGAAGAAATATGATTATACCATATAGACTGGATTATCAATAAGTATGATCTATGCGTAGCGTGATTGCTATAGCGATACTCTAGCAATGCATTCGTCAAATGTGCAAGTGGTCATATAAATGAATATGCATACACTAAATGGACATTAGAGTGTGAATTTAATATTACTGTGCTTCTGTCTTCTTGGTGGTCCATTTTAAAGAGATAATTTAGTCACATATAATGAATGGGGAATGAGAAGTAGTTTTGGGGCAAACATTCATTAGGAGAGACTGTAATCGCACTTGGCCTTTCTTGGAATTTTTTTGTTGCTGGTTCTAACAACACCAAGTTATCCATGAGACTCGACAAAGGCGAAACAAAAAATGATGGCCTATATGGTAGCGACAATTTCTCTTCTGCTGGCTTCATTCCTTGAAACTGTCATCATTCGGATGATTTGGGTTGCGTAAGTCTTAGTGGACTTCTTCCTGGAAGGGTATACCTTGTGGCTTTCATCAGAGAATGGGGCGCGGTGCATCAGCTCAACAATTGTTTCCGCAGGCATGGTGTTAATTTTATGGGAACAGTGACAATCTGGTTGTAAGTTAATTTGATGGGTTCAGTGAGTAAATTATCCCAACCATCCAGGTGGAATTTGTGTCAAACATATTATCACATGTATTTGAAATTCAACTGGGTTAAGGGTCCTTATCCACTTCACCCGAAGTAAATGGCCTTAAACGTCTTAGGATTGGATTTAAACGTGATGTTGTGTTTTGACATTAGTTGCCGTTTCACTGTTTTTTCTGGTTCCTTGATATTAATTTTGGTGTTTGATGTAGTATATTGTTTGATAACCTTATTTTCTTGAGTTGATGTTTAGGAGATCATTTTAACGGCATTTTTAGTTGTACTTGTTACCTTGCATGGCTAGGTCATTGACCTTTTGTCACCTAGGCTATGTGGTGTTGTACTTGTAGATCGTGGGCCTTTTGTCACCTAGGCAGTCTGGCGTTAGGTAATGAATGCTAGGTGCCGTCTATAACATTGATAACTTGTTGATTGTTGTTTCGGATGCTTGTTGTTTTAAATATTTAAATGGAAGACACAGAAATGCAAGCTTCCTTGGGAATGATATCTGGTTTTTGTCTTTGGGAGACATGATTATTTTATGTCTATGAGTGAGTTGCAGCTTCCTGTAATATGAGATCCTGATTTGCTCCTATATGATAGTAATGTGATTTATCAGTGACATAATTCTTCA